TATTCTGTTTAAAAAGAGGTCCTATTTTCTTTTTTTTTTTTGCATGTAATTGTTCAGTTTTCCCAACACCATTTATTGAAGAGACTGTCTTTATCTCATTGTATATTCTTGGCATTTATCTCTTAGTTAAATCAGTAACAAGGTAGCTCTGGCCCTGCAAAAATCATCTAGAGGGATTGTCAGAAGAATCTTTCCAAAAATGACTTCATAATCTTTCCTTCCAAACTGTTCCTCTTCTCATGGCCTCTGTCCCTGTTAACATGGTGTGTATCACCCTGAGGTTCCGAGCTAGATACCCTGGCACCCTCATCGATGCTTCTTTTCTCCATCCCACACCTCAGGTTACTCATCAGATCCTGTCGTTTCCACCTAGGCTCTCAGACCTGAGTCCACACTGTGCGTCCACCTTCAGGGGCCTCCTTGAGCTCTCGGGATACAACACGCCCATTACAGACCCTCCCTATGTCTTGGATTGTGCAGCAGGCTCCAAATGCATACCCCCCGACCCCCGCCTGCCTTGCGTCTGTCCTCAGTGCAGTGCTTTCTCTTTTGGCCACCTGCATGACCTTAAAAACTAATTAGATCATGCCATTCCCCTCCGTGAAGTTTCTTTGCTCCCACCCTGACTACAGGATAGTGTCTGAACACTTCAGCATGGCTTACATGGTTTTTCACCTCCGGCTCAAACTTAACTGCCAAGCCCCAATCTCGGTTACTGTTTCCACGGCTACCTCTGCCACCCTGATGGCCCACCGTGAGAACCTCACACAGGTCTGCAGGCCTGCCACCCCCTTTCAGAGCACTGTACCTCTGCATGCACCTTCCTGGGCTGAGAATTCTTTTTTCTTCTGTGCATGACAAATACCTGTTAACTCCTAAGATTCTACTGAAATGGTTATTTGTGCATTCATCAAACCCAGGACATGCCAACCGAACTAGATAGATGTATAAAGCTGAATAACACTCAGTCCCTATCTCCAGGAACCTAAAGTCTAATAGAGAAGATCGTCACAGGAAGGATAGTGTAGCACATGATGCTAACTAAGTACAGTGAGTGTGATTGTCGGAGCATAAAGGAGGGCAGCTAAAGGGGAGAGGGTATGGGGAGAAAGTATCCGTGGGCGGTACCTAAGCTGAGTCTTAAAGGATGAATATTCCAAAAAAGAGAGGGAGCAGCTGTTCCAGTTGGAGGGGCAGTTTGAGCAAGGCACAAAGAAAGGAAACAGTCTTTTGTCTTCCGAGTCCTTTGTACAATGTTCCAAATGTCCGTCATTGGGTGACCCCAACGATATGCTTCCACCTATTTTAAATATTGTGAATTTCTCTGCCTTGTGAGTCTCTGCTCAGAGACCTGGGAGGGCAAAGACTTGGTGACTTGGTGTCCTAGTGCTTAACCCAGTACAATTAATTAACATTTGGGGATGACAAGGAGGAAGCAATGGGATCTCCAGGCCTCAGTTTCCACATCACAAAGTGTGAGATTGTGCCCGGATGATTTTTATGGTTCTGTGGTTTGAAAGCTGGTCGTTTAAATTCCTGAGGGGAATGGGCAGTGGTAGAGAAGAGAGCATTGGCAGTTCTTCCTTGCTTATCTGAAAACATGGATAAGCTTGCTGGTCTAGTTTTTCGTTTTGATTGTTTGGTTGTTTGTTTGTTTGTTGTTGTTGTTGTTATTGTTGTTTTCCAAGGTAATAAATGCTATTTATGACTTCTTTAAACTTACATAGTACTCCAACATAGTGACACCCTGTGAACTGCAAAAAACCAAATACATTTACAGTAGTAGTATCAGTCACCAAAATGGAGAGGGCAAGGAAACTTTACAATTGTGAGAATGTGTAAATGTTCTCATTAAGGCAGTATCGACTCAGATGGCCATGTACTATCTGTCCCCTCAAACATCTCACAACTCCGGAATCCACTTAGTCAAGTAGAGTCTCTTAAATTCTATTTTTTGATTTACTTCTTCTTTTTATGAAAGCAAGTTGATTATAATCAGCTTTCAGTCTTGTTGATAATATAGGTTGAAAAAAATGTGCAGTTTGGGTTATTTGGAGGAGTAATCATCTTGGAATAATTGTGGATCAGATCTGTCTTAAAAAACAAGGATGACAACAAAAACAACAGCACCTCGGTGGTCAGATTGTTTTTGTGAGTCCAGAATGATTGACGGCTCTACGGAAGAGAAGACTCTGGGGCCACAGTTTTGATGGGCTGTTGTGCAGCAGCAGTAGGCATGGTCTGTATGGCCACAAGGTGCAGAGGAAGAACCAAAGCTGCAAACAGTATAAGAAAACCTAGGAAAAGATCTGAGCTGCCCAATGAATGCAGTAGGCAGCTTTGAGTGCTGTCAGGTTTTATGTCCTGAAGGTATTTAGGTCCCCTAGATACCCCTCAGGGACTTAGGCACCCAGTAAAGAGTCCAATCAGTTGACCTTCAAATTTCCTTCCAGTCTCCAATGCCAATGAGTCTGGTATGGATGCAAGAGAATTTTAGTGAGATCCTTTATATAAAGAGGTAGCCATTCTCTCTCTTGGAAGAAAGAGGCTTGTCATTTTGGTATGGCCATTGTATTCTCTCATTGTGTCTCTGAGGATGAATTCACAGTTACACAGGGCATAGGAGACGAGAAAGAACATTACATGCATGAATTATCCTTGTAGCTATTTTTTTCTGGCAAAGTGAAGTGTATTCTTGTGGCTGCTTCTATCTTGGCAAAATCGAGCGTGTTATTTGCAAAGATTCCTGCGAACATAGTTCCTTTGACTTCGGTTTGTGAAATTGTTTGATCTCGTAGACCTGCTCCAGTGCACAGCACCAACTCTGAGCTGGAAGGTGCCTCGATGCC